CATCGGCATCATCATGATCACCACCATCATCATCATCATCATCAGTATCATCATCATCATCATCATCATCATCATCATCATCATCATCATCATCATCACACTCGACATCATCAGCATCATCGTCACCATTACCATCACCATCATCATCAGCAGCATCACTATCATCATCGTCATCGTTATCGTCAGCATGTCCATCATCATCATCATCATCATCATCATCATGGTCGTCATCATCAGCGACAACATCATCGTCATCGTCATTGTCATCGCCGTTGCCATCGTCATCGTCATCGTTATCATCACCACCACCATCACCCTCATCCTCATCATCCTCATCTCCACAATCATCATCATCATCGAAGTCGTCATCAGTATCGTCATCATCCTCGTCATCACCATCACCATCATCATCAGCATCAGTAGCATCATCATGATCATAACCACCAGCATCATCATCATCATCACCGTCGTCATCAGCATCATCAGTGTCACCCTCATCCCTATGGACATCCCACGGCTCGCAACATCCACACGAACACTATGCCTCCCACCGAACAGTATTCTCAGAACTCCCAGGGCGCTCTGGTGCAGCTGACGGTAGAATGCATCTGCGCTCTCAAGGTCACACAACCTCGCAGAAATATGGTACCACGCTCCTGGCGTCACGATCTCTAGGAAGAAGAACTCGTCCCGCGCTCCCATGCCAACGACCCCCCATCGGAATGCATGGGCCCGCACGCCTGAGGCCACGATCACTCGCAAAGAGCAACCGCATGCGAAATGCCCGCCCATCTGCAACAACCGAACAAAACAACTAGTCAATATGTATCGGGCGATGTCCTGGCAAAGAACCAGATGTGACGCGTAAGCTAGGCTCGCGCGGTGCGCGACTCACGGGAGAAGCTTGAGTGTGGCATTCTCTTGAGATGCTGCAGAAAGGAACGAGAATACGTCAACAACAGATCACCGACATACGTAATGTGAGACGAAGCAGGAACATTAACCTGGCGCGACTCCAATTAGGAGAACGCGTCCTAAGCGGCATCACTTGGAACTGCGTGACATTGCCTTGCATTACTTGGCATTGCAATGATGCGCATTGCTTGGCATGGTGCTTGGCCTTGCTTAACATTGTTTGGCATTGCTTGCCGTTGCTAGCCGTTCCGTGTCATTCCTTAGCATTGCTGGGCATTGTTTCGCATTGCGGCGCAGTGATCGGCAGTACTTGGAATTGCTTGGAGTTGCTTGGCATTGCTTGGCATGGCGCTTGGCATTGCATTGCATTGCTTTGCGCTGCGTTGCATCACTGGGCATTGCTTGGCATTGCGTGGCATTGCTTGGCACTGCTTGGAATTGCTTGGTGTTGCTTGGCGCTGCTTGGCATGACTGTGCATTCCTCGGCGTCGCTTGGCATTGCGTGGCGTTGCTTGGAATTGCTTGGCCGAGGAATGCCCCTGTAAAAAAGCAAAGCGATGCCGAGGAACGCCTCAATTGATTAACCAAAAAGGGACCCGTAACCCTTTGGGAGGGGACCTAAGTTAGGAGGGCCACAAACAGTATGGATAGGATAGGGGGTCTTTCCTGCAGATGTACCGAAACACACCGCCCAGAAGTATCATCCCTGATGCGAAGACGGGAACCTCAGTGAGGCCACGTCGTCATCGTGCTATCAGGGCTGGGGGGTGCCTTTGCTCTCGATGAACAGTAAAGCAACAAGACCAGGTAACCCAGAGATCCAGAGGAGCGCCGCTTCAGCATCGTTTATCCAACCCCCCTCCCCATCCTCATCGCCTTCGAGACCCCCACCAACTCACCACCCCTTCTGGGGAAAACACCCCTCGAAACCCGACGGGGACGGCCGACATCCCCATCCAGGGGGGGTACATCGGCCAGTGGGGCCCCAAGCCACGCCGCTGGGGACGGGGATCGGAAAAACGATACTCACCGCTGAAAAGAAAAAAAAAAAAAAAAAAAAAAAAAAAACGCGAGGCACGCCGGCCGGCAAGGCATCCCGCCAAGCACAGTCCTCCACACACGAGTACGAACCCCTTAGGCGAAGGTCTCCTTGGAAGTCTTCGGCGGCGAGCGACGGGAGGGGAAGCGAGGAGGCGAGAGGGCCTCCTCTGAAGGCTCGGGAGCCCCCCTGCCTTCTGTGAAGTTGTCTGAGCCTTCCGCGAAGACACAGGAAACCTCCAAGAAGGCGCGAGGGCTTCTGGGAAACAGGAAACCTCCAAGAAGGCGCGAGGGCTTCTGGGAAGTCCCGCCGCCTTCTGAGAAGGTCTGTTCCTTCAGTGCCCGCCCTTGCTCGCCGCCGACCTTAGGCCAAAGCTTCACTGGGAATATGTGGGAGAATGATAAAGGTGGTGGGGGAGGGGCGTGGCAAACATTCAAGCTATGACAGTAGGCGGTGAGTGAACGGACCAGGGGATGAAAAAGGGTAGTGGACGGAGAACTACTGAACCTGATGAAGGAAACCCAAGGAGTAAAAACTGGAAGGAGAAAAAAACGGAACCTGTAGGACGCCTGTGCTCTTCTGGCCTGGGTAGGACCGCGCTACGCTGGACTCCCTGGAAGCCCTACGAAAACGGCTACAATTAAGCAACTGGCAACACCCAAAGGAGGGCAAGGAATAATTCTGATCCGCGTAGGGCCGCATTACGCTAGAACCCATGGAGCCTATGACAGTGACGTCTTTTGCACAGCTCACAGCCCGCAGGTGGAAACAGGTCTGAACCTGACACGCGTTAACTATCACTCCGCTGGAACTCCCAAGGATGCCACCAGCACGGCGACAACTGCGCAGTTCGCGGCACCCTCAGGGAGGGCTACATCGTCTCTTAGTCTGGATCGGGAGCGGCCAAGAGGGGGTGTCCAAGAGTGGGGGGTGCAAATCATGACCGGCGGCATGTGCGCGGCCCAGCGGGGGGGCCAGGGACGTAATGAAACAAGAAGAGGCGCCATGAAAGCTGGGGAAATATCATGGCCCCCGCCATGATATCCACCCCCCCCTAGTCATCACCCCCCTCTTTTCCGCCCCCGACTGGAAACAAGACCACACCCCGCTGGGCCCCCCCGGGAACCCACGAAAGGGACGACCGCTGCGCCGTTGTCCGCGAGGCCTGAGCAAGGCCCGCGCACGACGCCACCCCGCTGGACCTCCCCGGGAGCTCACGACGGGCGGCGGCCATGGCGCAGCCCGCAGCCCGTGAACATCGCGATGTCTGACCTGCGCCCGCGCAAGGCGCGTCACTCCGCTCGACCTCCCGAGAGCTCACGGACGCAGCCCGCCAGGAGGGCGAAGGCTACTCTCCTGAAGGGGCCCTGACACACACACACACACACACATATATAAATATACAAATCAACAGATTCCCCATATGTTCCTACACGTTCTGGGTTTCTGTCTTCCCCCCACTTCCCACATTTTCGCATATTTTCCTGGGAATCGACGATTACTTGTGTCTGTGTGTTTTTTTCCCTCATGATATGCTGGGTCTGCGTGACACGTCACTCCGCTGGATCTCCCAGGTGCCCACGGAAACTCGGGAGAGATAGGGGTTCGCAACCAGCAGGGGAGGCCATGTCTAATCTGGGCAATTCGGCGTAGGACTCCACTCCGCTGACCCCAGGGGCTCACCCGAAGTCGCGACAATGCAGGCCGTTTTTTCTTCGTTTCCGAATCAATGTCTCTCGAAAATGAAGAGAAAAAAACAACTCAACAAAAAAAAAAAACGGCTCCGGATTTGGAACAGGGGCCGGAAACGGGAGAACACAGCGACGGAAGCGGCAAAACAACGGCGTAGGCACCGGCAACAAATATGGCGACACGGCACCAGCAGCAAACGGCCCTGTCGTTTCCAGGGCCCGCGAAGGCTCGCAGCCCGCAGGGAGGGCGAGGTCGAGTCTGGCTCCGCGTGCAGGCAACCTGTACAAGAAGCACGCACGATAAGGATGCAAGGGCCATGGGAGGCCGCACCGAAGCTTTTCGAGCGGGGCGTGGCCCACGAAAGTGGCCAAGGACGGACCGAGGAGGCAAGGATGCAAGGGTATTCCAGATTTCGTAATAAAGGGAGGGGGGTCTCATTTCGGGGGGGGGGGTCTCTTCCGGGCTATCTTGGAGGGTCTGGGGGGTCTGGGGACGATGTTTTGGAGGGTTCTCCGACGGGGGAGATCTGAAATGGCTTATCTTGGAGGATCCAGACCCCCTCCCTTTCATCACGAAATCTGGGGTACCCTTGGCAAGGTTGCCCCTCCTTACTATGTGGGTTGGCTGTAAGACGTCACTCCGCTGGACCTCCTAGGGCCTCGACGGGCAGTCCGCAACACACACCAGGGAGGGCGGGGCCTCATCTGTGTCCACGGCCGAGGCCACTCCGCGGGGCCTCCGAGGGGCTCGCGAGGGTGACGAAGATCTCACAGCTCGCCTCCCCCCCCCCCGGGAGGGCGAGGTCCAATTCAGGTGTGAGTAGGGCCGCACCGCGGTGGAGGCCCAGGAACACGACGAAAGTGACGACCATGCAGCCCGCAGCCCCCGGGGGCCGGGGCGAGGTCTAGTCCTGATCTGCGTGAAGACTTCACTCCGCTGACCCCTCCAGGAGCTCATGAAAACGGCGAGAACTGCGCGATTCGCAGACCCCCGAGGGAGCCAACCCGAAGGCGAGGTCCGAATCAGATCCGCGTAGGATCGCAGTACGCTGGACTCCCTAGGAGCTAAGGAAGTGGCGACAGTTTCCCAGCTCGCAGCCACCACGAAAGGCGAGGTATGAAGTAGGGACCAGGAGGAGGGCGAGGGAGGGAGGCGGGAAGAGAAGGAGGAAGGCGGCAGCGGTGCCTTGTTCAAAACGAATACCCAAGGCAAGAGGGTTCAGAAAGATGTTGGCCTGCGCTCACGAGGCCACGATCTCGGATAAATAGAACATGCCCCTGGCTCCACCCCTGACTTCGAGAGCCCCCCCCAAGGCCTGAGGGGGGACCGTCAGCGGCGTCAGCGAACTCATCATGGCCTCGATGTCCACCGAGCCCTCGGACTCGCTCGATGAGGGCTCGTAGTCTTCGAAGTCGCTGCCGCCAAAGCTGACGCGCGTGGTGCTCTGCTCCTCCCTCGCGGACGCCTCGAGGGGGCGCACACCACACGCAGGGCCGCCGGAGCAAGGCGGCTCCGCTCGTGGACGCGAGGGCCCGGGTGCGCGCAAGCCCCGGCCGGCCGCTCTCCTCCTCCTACTCCCCCTCCCCCTCCTCCTCCTCCTCCTCCTCCTCCTCCACCTCCTCCTCCTCCTCCTCCTCCTCCCCCTCCTCCTCCTCCTCCTCCTCTTCCTCCTCCTCCTCCTCCTCATCCTCCTCCTCCTCATCTTTCTCCTCCTCCTCCTCCTCCTCCTCCTCTGCCGCCGCCTCCTCTCCTCCTCCTCCTCCTCCTCCTCCTCCTCCTCCTCCTCCTCCCCCTCCTCCTCCTCCTCCTCCTCCTCCCTTCCTCCTCCTCCTCCTCCTCCTCCTCTTTCTCATCCTCCTCCTCCTCTGCCGCCGCCTCTCTCTCCTCCTCCTCCTCCTCTCCTCCTCCTCCTCCTCCTCCTCCTCCTCCTCCTCCTCCTCCTCCTCCTCCTCTCCTTCTCTAGCGCCCAGATCCAGGCCAACGGGGGGCGGAGAAGGGGAATCGGCCCCATGTGCCAGGAAGCAGCCCCTGGGGCCTATTTGTATTCTGATCACGCCCGTGACTACCCCCGCACTCTCCCTTTTGGCGGCGAGCGAGGGGGGGGAAATGAGAAGGAGAATGCCTTCTCAGAAGGCGGCGGGACTTCTCAGAAGCCCTCGCGCCTTCTGAGGTTTTTGTGTCTGCGGGAAAGGCTTAGAGAACTTTTCAGATGGCCTGGGGACTTCCGAGCCTTCTGAGAAGGCCCGCCCCTTCCCATTTCACACCCTCGCTCGCCGCCGACCCCTCCCTCCCAGCTGGTCACGCCGCCACAATTCGCGCCGGCGCCTTCTTGGAGTTTGCCTTTTTTGCCCATTGGGTATTCCCAGACGGTGCAGGCGCAACGTGATCCCGCCCCCCCTCCGTCAGGCCCGGTGTCGCAAGAGAACAAGCCAAAAGCTCTCCTGGGAGGTCTTCGTCAGAGCGTGCGAGGGCTGTATTGAGCCCGATGCAGGGACCTCTGCGCCAGATCAGGCCGCATGCAACACAGGATGGAGCCGGAAGCGGGATGAAGCTGGACTGGGCCTGATGGGCCAACGTTCCGCCACCACTACCATAGGTAGGACGGGGGAGGAGGGAGAATGGGGAGGTCCTCCTCCTCCTCCTCCTCCTCCTCCTCCTTCTCTTGGTCCTCTTCCTCCTTCTCCTCCTCCTTCTTCTCCTCCTGCTCCTCCTCCCCCTCCTATCTATGGTAGTTGTGGTGGGTTATCTGCCCATCAGAACCAGATCAGACGGCACTATGCCGGATGAAGTAGCGTTTCGACCACGGATGCAGCAGGGCCGATTCTGAACGTTACCTCAAAGGAGTTGCATCCCAAGGAAAAAGGAGTCGGCCCGAATCGGTCCCACGTTTGGCTGACCCCCGCTGGCGCTGACCCCAGTTACGTGAGCCCTGACATTCCTCCTCCTCCTTCTCCTCTTCCTCTTCCTCCTCCTCCTCCTCCTCCTCCTCCTCCTCCTCCTCCTACCGCTCCTTTCTTGTGCAATGCCATGGGGGCACACACGCTGGGGGCGTCAGCAGAGAACGGCAGCACGCTGCAGCCGCCGCGAACCAAGTACAAGCGCGGCGCAATCAAATCAGACAGCGCAAACTGGACAAGTGGAAAGTGCATGGTGCTGAGGCACTCCTCCACGTCCTCCTCCACACCCCAGGGACACATTCACCTCCAATTCCTCGAGGAACACGGGACAAGGAAAGAGATCAAAGTCGCCCATGTCGGGCGGCGAGCATGAACTATGAGGGCCAAGGTGAAACTCGAGCAACACTGGCCAAGTCGAGGAGCGCCCGCGAAAGACCCACGGCCAAGGTCGCAGTCTTTCAAGTCCTCCGCTCCACCACTAACCTTCCACTCCTCGTCTACTCCATGGCGGCAGCGGTTGCTGGCGACCCTCGTGCGCTGGTCAAGAACGATGCAAGACTGCATGGCGCAAGAGGACGAGCGCGTACACCAACCACAACACCTCCAGGCCATCCACCAACTCCCGGGCTTCGGGACAGTAGCGGGACGCGCGGTTTGAAGGTATTTCTCCAGGCGCGTTTGTTGCTCGCGCGGAGAATGATCTCTCTCTCTCTCTCTGTCTCTCTCTCTAGTTCTCTCTCATTACCTGTTGTTGTGTATCTCTCTCCCTCTCTCTCTGTCTCTCTCTCTCTCTCTATCCTTCTCCCCGACCCCTCAAGAAGTGAGGGGAGGGAGCAGGAGGGAGCAGGCCCCCCACTCAAAACTCGATCCGACTCGCCTTTTTCCCAACTTCCGTATACATCGAACCTTCGTCCTCCTCTCCCCCCCCGCCCCCCCACCCCCTCCCCCACTTCAAGGAGGGAGAAGGGGGAGGAGGACGGGGGAGGATGCCCTCGGACCTTACAGTAGAGCCTCGAACTAGATCGAGATCCTTTGGTTCCTTCCCTCCTTGGCAAGAGCGAGAAGGGAGAGCAGGGGGGAGGAGCGGAAATGCCTTCCCCCCTCCTCTTCCTCTTCCTCCTCCTCCTCCTTTTCCTCCTCCTCCTTTTCCTCCTCCTCCTCCTCCTCCTCCTCCACTCCCCCTCTCCCCCTTCCCTCGAACCTCGACCCTCGCACCCCATCCTCTCTTCTCGATCCTCCTCTCTGCCCTCCCCCTCGAGGCGGAAGGAAGGGGAGGAAGATGCAATCAAGGCTTTGGTCCTCGAGCCTGGGTCCTCCTCGGCCTTCCCTCTCGCACCTCCTGCCACTCCTCCTCCTCCTCCTCCTCCTCCTCCTCCTCCTCCTCCTCCTCCTCCTCCTGCCCATCCTCCTCCTCCCTCCTCCTCCTCCTCCTCCTCCACCTCCTGCCCCTCCTCCTCCTCCTCCTCCTCCTCCTCCTTCTCCTCCTCCCCTCCCTCCTCCTCCCTCCTCCTCCCTCCTCCTATCTGCCTCTGATCGAATATTGCCCATCCTCCTCCACCTCGACCTCCTCCTCCTCCTCCTCCTCCTCCGCCAACCATTCTCTCGAACCTCGATCCTGTTCCATTCCCCCCCCATCGACCCGGGAGGGGGACGCTGCGGTGACTCACCTTGTTGATGGTATCATTCCGTCCCCTCTTGTTTGTTGTGTTCCACTGTGATCAACCAAGTATCATCTCGGTTTCTATAATATGTCCCTCTGTCCATCTCTCTCTCTCTCTCTCTCCCTCCCTCTCACGTATGCCTCCTTCCATTATCTCATTACCTGTTTGTGTCTTCGTTGTTCAATGCCCTGCTAGTACATCGCCCCTCCGTTCTCTCTTCTCCTTGTTCCCTCTTTTCGTGTTTCCTGCTTGTCATTGGGCGCGTGCACAACGGGACGCAACTCCGCAATGGTGGGCGCAACGCTCTTCCCAGCCGCGCCTGACTTGCCTGGCACTCCCAACGCTGCTTGCCTTTGATCCCCAACTGGACAAACGCGTCACTAGTTTCGACGTTCACATTGGGACGTGCAGTGTTGATCACCAGATTGAGACTTGCCTTGGCCATGCCTTTGAACTCACACTCACGGACGGCCCCCGTAGTGTCGACATCCAAGAGGGTCGCAATGGTACCAACATCCGCCAGTGTAGGATCGTCCATCGCCCCAGCCACAGCCTCCCACGCTGTAGGGACGAGTCCACTGTGCATGAGGACGTCGCTCCATTAGTTAGCTGAACGAGGCAACCTGGTCTGGGCTCGGGAGCGCAAGCCTGGCCATCGCGCGCGGGCAGCGACTCGACAGCATCCCGAAACTTGTCCCACCAAAATTTGCTCGGATTGGCGGGGCCTGCAAGCTACGTCTTGCGTGTCAACGGCATGCCTGTCCTGAGCAGGCCATCCGCCCACCGAAATCAACGTGGAAATGAAACTAGCATCATTTCATGTTGCCCTCGTCGAAGTCGTCAAATTTTTCGGTGACGGCCATGATGTCCCTCTTGTCTGATACAATCGTGGAGCCGAGGTTTCCTCATGTGTGTTGGATGTGCTGGGTAAATCACTGCTGCTTCATCGCGTCTATCTCAATATCGAACTGCAATAGTTTAAGCATCCGTAGTGGAATCCACCATCAACGCAGATGTCGCAGATAATGCCCGGGACGATGCTTCCCATGCAGATGCCCGCTTCGTGATGTCGTCGATGGCTGTGTTGAGGGGGTTCACGACGGTGTTGAGCTACCATGAGTTCTGACAGATGCGATGTCGCTGTGGACTAGTCACAACTGTTCGTCGGGTACGTGTTGAAAGCTTCAGCGGTCAAGAATTATCCAGGAACCAAGTTGGCCCCCTGTGTTGGTCTGGCCTGCGTCGTCCAGGAAATGTACGGCCGATGCCCAAGCAGAAGCTGGACCTTCTCCGTCGACATTGACCAGCGAGCCTGCCTGGACCTTCTGCCGCAACTTCCCAGGAGCCCACGAGAGTGCGGACCATGGCGCAGGTGGTCCGGTCTGTACACACGCAAGTCTCCACTCCACCAGACCTCTCACAAGCCCACAAAAGCTGCAACACCTGCTCAGTTGGCAGCCCACCAAGAGGCCACAACATCTAGTCTGGACACGCGCAAGATACCACTCCGCTGGACATCCCAGGAACTCGCGGAAACGGTAGCATCTGCGCATGCGGCATCCCCCCAAGCAGTCGCGATGTCCAACCTGGACGTGCGAAGGATACCACTCCAGTGGGCCTCAGGGCAACCCACGACAAGGGCGACAATGAAGGGGCCCCAGGACACACAAATAAATACGCACAAATAAAATGTTCCCCATATGTTCACACATTTTTGAAGTTTTGTCTCCCCCCCCACTTCCCATGTTTTTCCATATTTTCCTGGGATCGACGATTAATTGTGTCTGTGTGTTTTTTCCCCTCCTGAAATCTGGACGTGCGAAGGATACCACTTCAGTGGGCCTGAGGGGAACCCACGACAAGGGCGACCATTCCGCAGGTGGAAGCCCCGCGCAGTTGGCAGCTCCCGGGGACTCGCCATCGCTCGGACGTCCATTTCCGGTGCATTTGTCGGTTTCGCGCGTGCTTTTTTTGCTCGATGGTCCAGGATCGTCCTCAGTGGTTCTCGCCGAGAAAAAATGCACACGTCCGAGCGATGCCAGGGGGAAGGTGACGCAAGCAGTGCTCTGCTCGTAGCATCCAACTCAGCCAGAGGAGGCATGCACACCATCACTAGAGGCCTCCCAGATGGGGTCCGGGTAGATGGGGGTTTGAGCTGCGCTCCGCATCGCCGAGGCATCGGCGCCGTCGGAGCGGAGAAGCTCGGGCTCCACATCAAGCATGGAGCCGCACCGGCGATGCTTCGGCGGTGCGGCGCGATCCTCCAACCCCATCCGCTCGGAGCCCAGCTGGGCGGCCTGGACCAACTCGGCCCAAGGAGGGCTGGGAAAGATCAGAAAGACGAGATTGGGACGCCCTTGGGCGCTCCAGTTAGCCCTGACCCGAACTACAGTGGGCGCTCGGCCACAAGACACCTCCGCAAGAAACCCAACCCTGAAATCCGCGCTTTGTTCAATGAAAACCCAAATTTGTCGATCGAAGATCATCTAGATCTTATTGGGGACCCCTCGAAGTCCAAGAAACCCAGGGCACCCTGGCAAAATCCAACTGGTTTCTTGGCACGCGCCCCCACTGTACCCCTGACGACTCGGGGCTCGGACTGCCCTGGGCCCCCGCGCGCCTTCTTCTCGCTCGACCGCAGAACCGAGCGGCCAGCCCCCTGTCCGACCGGCCCCCCCCTGGTGGAGGCTGCGTGCGCACGGTGCGAGCGCGAACAGAACACGCCTCTGGGGCACCTCAGGGCCGCGTAGACCCGGACACGCTAGACCCCTCGAAACCAATTTTACCAATTTTTCCATACGGCGGCACGAATAGAATACTGCACTGCAGCACTTCCAGAATAGACCCGGACACAGACCTCGAAAGCCTGCAAGAAACCCCCTAAACCCGGACACAATCCCGAATCCTGCAGTGCAGCAAACGAAGCATGCACGGGTGCTGAAAAACGAAACTTTGCAAGAAAGAATGTCGTTTCCTTGGTTTTCCGTGTCTTGGTTTTTCTGTGTCCTGGTCTCCGGGGGCCTGAGCACCAGAGCCACGAGCGGCGCCGCAGGCACCGCTCGGGGGCCCTGGCGTCGACCCAAGAGATCCACGGCAGCCTCTCCCAAAGTGTGTGCTTGTATGCCGCCTCCTGCTTCTCGAGGAGGGCACCCCGCAACCCCTACGTCTTCGACCGTGGACCTCCCGAGGCGCATCGCTCTTCGGCGGTCTTCGGTGGTATTCTGCCGGTCTTCGGCGCGACACCTGGATGGTTGAGCTCAACACGAGGTCCATGATCAACGACCTAGTGTAGGATAATGGTTGTGAAAAAAGCGCTGGGAAAGAATACACATTAAATCGCTCTCTGACGCCAGGATTGTGATGCTCCAGCCAACTTTAGCCTTGATCACGAGAGATAGTTTCGAGCACCCAGAAAGTGCCGAAACTGGAGGGCTTTCACGGGAGGCGGTACTCGCTGGACGCTGTATCGATACTCTCCCGGGTGCTCGAAATCCTTTTTGGGATGTGGTCCTGCACGACGAGGACCACATAGTGATCGTGTTCTTATTCACTGCTCAGCCGATCGGCGCGGGCCCTCGCACCCCCTCCCTCCCCCCCCCATGGGGTGGATCTTGGCTGTTTTTGGCGCCTGCTTCAAGCAAGTGAGGTCTCCCCCGTAGGACTTGGGCGCCCGAGTTATCCGGGGTAACTCGGGTCCGGGGTAACTCGGGTTTGGGTTCCCGAAAAACGAACCCGAGTTATCCCTGACCCGAGTTACCCCTGATGATTCGGGGCTCTGGACGCCCGAGTTATCCGGGGTAACTCGGGTCCGGGGTAACTCGGGTTCGGATTCCCGAAAAACGAACCCGAGTTATCCCTGACCCGAGTTACCCCTGATGATTCGGGGCTCTGAAGGACGCACTTCATCGGGGGCGCGCAGACATGGCTCAGCGATCCATGGATTTGGCGCGCGCGGTCGCCAAGTCCATGGATCGGGGGAGGTGCCCTCCCCAAGATGCGGCCGGCGCCGCCTCGGCCAGTGGCGGCACTCCGCGGCTTCCCAGGGACACGGGACCCGTCGCTCGTCCACGCCGCCATCGTCCAGGTTCGAGATCGCCCGACTCGAGCACGACGAGGACGACACTCGGGTCGGGCGAAAGGGGGGGATAGCAAAGGGGGGGGTTGAGAATCAGCTCACGTAGCTGATTTTCCCGGCGCCTCCCGGCGCCCGGAGGCGCCCATGCATCGAGGAATGGGCCCCTCGGTGAGGCCGAAACCAGCTGCACGCAGCAAATTTCGTAACCCCCCCTTTCCCAAACCCCCCCTTTCGCCCGGCCCGAGACACAGCGCCAGGAAAGCCTCCGGCGAGGAGGGCTTCGGTCTCTCAGGACGGCGACGGCGACGTCCACGAGCAGGGCTGGGGCCCCCGGCTCGTGCGCCCGTCGGCGGGGGCGCTGCCGCGCGACGGCCCCCCCCCCCCCCGAGTACGGTGAGGGCGTTGGATGAGAAAGCGTTGGATTCCTCCTCCTCCTCCTCCTCCTCCCCTCCTCCTCTCCTCCTCCTCCTCTCCCTCCTCCTCCTCCCCTCCTCCTCCCCTCCTCCTCCTCCTCCTCCCCTCCTCCTCCTCCTCCTCCTCCTCCTCCTCCTCCTCCTCCCCTCCTCCTCTCCTCCTCCTCCTCCTCCCCTCCTCCTCCTCCCCTCCTCCAACTCCAACTCCAACTCCAACTCCAACTCCAACTCCAACTCCAACTCCAACTCCTCCTCCTCCTCCTCCTCCTCCTCCTCCTCCAGGGAATCCAGGGTCTAGGTGCCTGGAAACTCCAGTCGTGGGCTGGCCCTGGAAGTCTCCGCCGCCCTAATCACGTAAGGAGTGCCCCATCATCTGAAGCCTCCTGGGCACATTCCTTAACCAATGCCCCTACCGTAGCATGTCAACGTCTTCTGATTCGGCGTCTCGACATGGGGCGGAAGGGGCGGGGGGGAAGGGAGGGGGGTCGGGCTCCAGACCTCTGCTTCACGCGACGGGTTGCCACAGTGCGTCCTAGGGGAGAGACCCCACCTGCTTGAAACAGGTGCCAAAAACAGCCAAGATCTGCTCCATGGGGAGGGGTGCGAAGGCCCGCGGCGATCGGCAAAACAACGAATAAGCGAACAATCACTATGTCGTCCTCATCCTGCTTGAGGCTCACATCCCAGAAATGACTTCGAGCGCCCCGGAGAGCATCGAGACAGCGCCGAACGAGCACCGCCTCCCAGGGCCCCCCACGCATGCAAGCCCTCCAGTTGCGGCACTCCCTTGGCGCTCGAAACTCCCTTCTGGTTGCGGGCAGTACTTATATCCATATCCAGAGAGTCTTGAACTTTTCTGGAAGAGGTGCCGCAACGCCGAGGCGAACTGGATATGGATAAAATCAGGCCTCTCGGGGCCAGATCTTTGTCCATATCCAGTGCGGCTACGGCTTCTGGGGAAGAGAGCCCGAGACTCCGAGAAGCACTGGACGTGAATATAACTACTGCCCGCACGGGTGATCGAGGCTAGAAGTAGGCTGGAACGTCACCACCCCAGCAGAGGATGGAGCACCTTGGGCGCCCGACTTATCCGGGGTAAGTCGGGTCCGGGGTAACTCGGGTTTGGATTCCCGAAAAAGAAACCCGAGTTAGCCCTGACCCGAATTACCCCTGATGATTCGGGGCTCTGGACGCCCGAGTTATCCGGGGTAACTCGGGTCCGGGGTAACTCGGGTTCGGAATCCCGAAAAAGGAACCCGAGTTAGCCCTGACCCGAGTTACCCCTGATGATTCGGGGCTCTGGACGCCCGAGTTATCCGGGGTAACTCGGGTCCGGGGTAACTCGTTGTTGGATTCCCGAAAAAGGAACCCGAATTATCCCTGACCCGAGTTACCCCTGATGATTCGGGGCTCTGAGCACCCGCATGCGCAGAGAACCTCTCGGACCTCCGCGCGGATGCCTGGCATCCTGCGCCCGCCCGCCCCCCCCCTTCCCTGGCGCGCAGAGGGGGGGCGGCGCCGCAGAAGGCGCGGCCAGGGGGGGGCCCCGCGCCGGCCCGAGAGCGCCGCGAGGAGCTCCGCCTCCTCCTCCTCCTCCTCCTCCTCCTCCTCCTCCTCCTCTTCCACCTCCGCCTCCTCCTCCGCCTCCTCCTCCTCCTCCGCCTCCTCCTCCTCCTCCCTCCTCCTCATCCTCCTCCTCTCCGCATCCTGCGCGGGCCCGGCCCGAAGCGCAGAGCGGCACGCCCGAAGAGGGAACGGTAGGCCCGGGGTGCGGAGCCCGAGGGCAGATGCTGAGTCCCCCGTCGGCTGCGAGCGAGGGGGGCGAAGCGAGGAGGAGGCCTTATCAGGGGGCGACGGGGCCTCTCAGGAGCCCCCTCGCGCCTTCTGAGAGGCCTTCTGTCCTCGGAGAAGGCTTCGAGCACTTCTCGGATAAGGGGGCCGAGCTCTATGCACACCCAGGCTTTTCCCTGCCCCGCACCGACACGCGCACAGGGAAGCGGATCCTGACGTGTACGGGATCCTGGTGCAGACGTGTTTCGCTGTCTCTCTGGCCACACGGGGAAACAAACCTGCACCACACCGCCCCGACGTCGTCTCCGACCCTCAAGAGACCCTGGGATTGAAACACAACCCGCCACTGGTCGTTGCATACGTTCCGGTTTCCGATCAGACGGCCCAGGGACTCCCGAGCCTTCCGAGGTGGCCCGCCCCTTCTCGTTCACCCCCCCGGGGCGCACCGCCGACCAGACCCGACAGCGGCCGCTGTCGAGCAGGCGACTTCCTGTCAAAAACTCCGCGGCGACACCGGCAGCGCTGCCCACGCGGAGGCTACGATGCGAACCGACGGCGTCAACGTGCACCAAAGGCTCTTCAGCAGCCCGCGCTGGCACGAGGGGTTGAGGCTCGAGATCCATGTTGACGGCGGAGCCTTCCAGGTCGGCAGGTGGCAGCGCGATGCCCACAATTGCCTTATGGAGGCGCTGCGACAAAAAGCTCAACGAGCGGAGCGGCGCTAGAATTACAATCGATATAGAAGCTGCTGTCACCTTCGTCCCCGTACCTAAGGTGGACGAAGGCCGCCAGCAGTTCCTTTCAGGAAGGCTTCCTGATAGAAGCATTAGAAAGCATAAACTGAATTCCTCGGAGGTCCGCGCGGATTTCTTCGATCGCCGCTGGGCCCACCCCTCCCTGACACGCCAGGGGCGGCACTGGAGGCGCCGCCAGTGGCGCCCAACACCCATCCAAAAAATCCGCACGGAACTCTGAGAACATATGTATATGCAGTTGTCGTTAGTCATTTATTTCCGTTCTCCCCCTCGTTTTTTCCATCAGACCCATTTGAGGGAACTCCTGGAACCAAACCGATGCGGCCGAACCGAACCGGGCCGAACCGAATCGGCGTGAACCGCTGCTTTTCCAACACGAGCCAAACCGAACTGATCATTGTCTTGTATTGAGCCGAACCAAACTGGTATCAACTTCGTCGCCGAACCGGAGAGATCCTCCTCCCCGAAGGGGGCCGAGCCAGAGCGAACCAATGCTCGCGGTACGATCGGATCGGCATTTCGACTCGGGCGTTGCTTCATGGGGGGGGGGGGGGCGATGCGGTGGCGGGGGGCAAAACGTGCACCTTTCGTGCCCGTTTGAGGTCCTTTTAGGGCCCTCTCAGGCCATAAACAGGTTTACCTTTCTTCACGTCCCCTTCGCCCCCCCGGTACTCGACGCAACAGGCGAATGACTCGAGCTCAATCGGGAGTGCCACTAATGTGTAACTGATTGAAAGCATCAGGCGTGAGGTCCAATGCTATGGCGACATTGTGCACAGAAGGGCGCGAGGAGGTCAGGAGTGATTCCGAAAATGAAGGAGGAGGGGGAAAGAGAGGAGGAGGAGGAGGAGGAGGAGAAGGAAAAGGATGAGGAGGGAAAGGAGGAAATGGAGGAGGAGGAAGAGAAAAAGGGGGAAGAGGAGGAGGTGGAGGAAGAGGAGGAGGAGGGGGAAGAGGAGGAGGAGGAGGAGGAGGAGGAGGAGGAGGAGGAGGAGGAGGACGGGGGTCCGGGCGGGTCTGGCCGCACAGGCGCGGCGGAGGCGTGCTTGGCGCGGCCGGCGCCGAGGGCGAAGCCGGCGGGGCTGGGCGTTGCGCCTCGTCGGGGCGGGCGCGCGCGCGCAGAAGGGCCGAGCTACGGGGCGTGAGAACGACCACAGCGACTGCTTTTCTCTTGTCGCCGCCTTCCAGCCCGCAGAAACAAAGCAGTGGCCGTGGTCATTTCCGTTGAGCTTGGCACCAGGGAAATGACCACAACCACTGCTTTGTTTCTCGGCCGGCTGGAAGGCGGCGCCGACAAGAAGCAGTGGCTGTGGTCATTTTCCCGTCCCGCACGAGCGCAGGGGGGGCGAGCGCCGGCGGTCCCAGAGATCCGAGGACATGATGTCTTCAGTCCGGCGGCTTTCGGGCGGAGTGTAAGGGGGGGTGGCCCAATATCGGGAGTGCAGGGAAGGGCCCTGGGCCCCTTTTGGAACCAGTTGGTGCCCAAGCGGCGCCCTCAAGGGCCCGCTCAGCGCAGTCCGAAAAAAGGACGTCTTGCTGAAGCAAACAGGAAGCTGTTGCAAAGCGGAGAGACGGCTGGGGTAAAGCTGCGCGCAGAAAGTTCGCTCCCATAAAATCTGGCGCGGGACTCCAGGAACAAGGGCGGGGCGCAAGTTCGCCCGTGGGCCCAGGCCCTGTCGCCGCCGTCGCCGCGACGTTCGTCGTCGCCGCCGTCGCCGTTGCCGCCGTCGTTATCGCCGTCGGCGCCGACGCCGCCGTCGTCGTCGCCGTCGCCGTCGTCGCCGCCGCGACGCCCGCGCATTCACGATGTTACCAGCGGCGGGTCGCGCGTGTCCGCGCGCGCCATTGCGCTCGAATTGCCGCTCCTCCGATGGGGGCTCAGGTTTCTTCTACCCACAATTTTTCCAAAATGAGAATGGGAAAATTACGCCTCTGAGAACCACCACCCGCCCGCTTTCTCTCGGGCCCCGGGGCCATCAAACATGCACCGGGGACGAGAAACATCCCCCCTTCCTTTCTTTCCACGGGGCCCACGTCACCAAGGTGACGGCCGCATGTAAACGACAATAGTTGGGCCAGCACCTGGACAGCCTCGTCCAAGGTAATGGCTTCAGCGAGGAATGACGAGTCTGCTTCGGACATAAACCCAGAGATCCGATGTCGTGATTTTTTCAACACGGGGCCCCCGGAAACCTCGACCCGTTCCCCAGGACCGGCTTTTCATCCTGAGTCGCTCTTTGACGGTCCGGGAGCCTGGCGAGGGCCGCTGGAGTCCGAAAATCTAGAAAAACCTCCGTCTTGATTTTGTTCAATACGTCGGAGGTCTGGGAATGTGCCCGCCATCAGCGCACGCGTGGTTGTCTTGGAGTGGCCGCGGTAGCGCACGGCCTCGATGCACCAAGCTGCCGGGGAAGGGGCTGGGCGCGCGCAGAGGGGCCGGGCTCGAGGACGGCGGGGGTCTGCGGCTGCCGGCGGCGCCCGCACGCGTCTCAGAGGCCTCCTAGATGGGGTCCGAGTAGATGGGGTCGGAGGATCTCACCGCATCGCAGATACATCGACGATGCATCGCTGATGCATCTGCGATGCATCGGCCATGCACTGCATCGGCGACGTTGGCGTGGAGCAAATCGAGCCCCACATCGAGCCGCATCGCCGATGCATCGCCGATGCATCGGCGATGCGGCGCGATCCTCCGACCCCATCTACTCCGACCCCATCTGGGAGGCCTCGGGTCTCAGAGGGCCCCGAGGGCTTCTGAGGAGCCCGACCCTTTCTGGGAAGGCCTTCTCGCTTCCTTCCCTCGCTCGCCGCCGAGTCTGGGTCCCCGCCAGGCCGACAATGCCTGCGCCCCGGGCCGGTGGGTGCGGCTGGAGGAGGAGGAGGAGGAGGAGGAGGAGGAGGAGGAGGAGGAGGAGGAGGAGGAGGAGGAGGGGAGGAGGAGGAGGAGGAGGAGGAGGAGGAGGAGGAGGAGGAGGGGAGGAGGGAGGAGGGAGGAGGAGGAGGAGGAGGAGAAGGAGGAGGAGGAGGTGGAGGACGAGGGGAGGAGGGGAGGAGGGAGGAGGAGGAGGAGGAGGAGAGGAGGAGGAGGAGGAGGAGGAGGAGGAGGAGGAGGAGGAGGAGGAGGAGGAGGAGGAGGAGGGGGAGGGGGACGGGGAGGGAGGGGGAGGAGGGAGGAGGAGGAGGAGGAGGAGGAGGAGGAGGAGGAGGAGGAGGAGGAGGACGACGGACGACGACGAGGAGGAGGACGACGAGGAGGAGGAGGAGGAGGAGGAGGAAGAGGAGGGGGAGGAGGAGGAGGAGGGGGAGGGGGAGGGGGAGGGGGAGGGGGAGGGGAATGGGAGGAGGGGGAGCAGCCCGGCCGCGGCGCGGCGGCCCGCCCGCCCCTGGCCGAGGCACTCGGCGGGGCCGCGCGGGCGGCCCGCTAGCGGCGCCACGAAGAGCGGCGCGCGCCGCGAAGGCCACGCGGGTGCTGGGGCGTCGCCTCGTGGGCCGCGGAGGGCTCCACACGGGGGTTTTTGGGGGAGGGGGCTCCCCAGGAGGGGTCCCCCAGGGGCATCATCGCCCCCCCCCCTGCTTCGGCGAGGTCCTGAGGCCCCCATGGGGTGGTTCCGGAGAACCCTGTCCCCCAAGACCTCCTTCGGAGCCCTCCGGGTGGGGGGTGACGAATTGGGGGGGAGAAAGGTGCAGCGTTCGGGCCCGGAGAACTATCCCTTGTGGGCCATCAGGCGCCCCCTTGAGGGGCCCTCGGGGGCCCCTGTTTTGCACCTTTCGCTGCTCCCCCTACGCGCCGCCCCCCCCATGACGCGACGCCCAAGCTTGGGCGCTGCGCCATTTGCTCGCGCACAGAGGGGGGGACAGAGTGAGGGGGGTGCTTCTTTTTAGAGAGGCTGCTTATCAGAAGGTGCGGGCCTGACGTCCGCAGACAAGGCCCGCGCCTCCTAAGGAGCAGGTGCGTTTCCAAGAAGCATTTCCCCGGGCAGAGAACGCGCAGCATCGCTCTTTTAGGGTCCTATGTGTAGACGAGCGCGCTGCGCGAATCGTCCAGTAAGTAACTCGCAAATGGCCTGGATCCGCCGCGGGGTATCAGCGATCCACTACGTCGAGGCGGACCAACGTTTTGTCGGACGTTTGCGGGTCGGCACTTTGCGAGTCGTGGAACGCGCTCTGTGAACTTGGGCGACGAACAGAAGCGGGTCTTACGAGAGATGGCAGAGTGACCTTACGAGGTGCCTCAGGCGGGCCGCAAGCGCGGCACACCGCGCTAGAAACGAGGGCGCTCACGCGCAGCCTTGCGCGGGCAGCATGCGCGCGAACATCGATGAAGACGAGCCTATTTTCCCTCGTCGCGTAATGTACGGAAGCGTTATACATATATATATATATATATATATATATTAAAAAAAGGGGCGGACGATTAACAACAATGTTTCGCGGGCCCCCTCGCCCCCGCAATAGCGGGGGGGCAGGGCAGGCAGAGGGGGGGCCGACAATTCCGGGTTGCCTGGAAGGCCAGGGGGGGGGCACGAGGTGGCGATCCAGGGCCCAGGGCGCGAGGGCACGCCTCCTCGGCGCTGCCTCTGTAACCAGCCCAGGCAGCGGCAGCGCTGGAGGAGTCTGACTCGGCCCCCCGCGCAAGCTCCTCTGCGTCTCCTCGCACGGGCGGCAGGCCTCCGCCAGTCAGGCGGAGAATCCACCCCTCGCGCGGCCGCCTGGCCACAGTCAGCCAGCCGAGGCAGTCGGGCCCATCCCGACGGGCCGCCATGGCGCCCGGCTCGGCGGGCAACCCTAACTCCAAATCCGCGCTACTTTGCGTCGGCAATCCACCTATAAGGAGCCGGAAAAGTAGGGCGGAAATTTCAGCACCCAACATAAAAAGGGGCGAACATCACAGAAGTAGGGCGGAAACAACAACAGAAAAGTAGAGCGGAAATTGGCATCAGCGGGGCTTGAAAAGTAAGGCGTACATTCCAAGCCCTACTTAAGTACGAACTTCCCCAACGTAGGGCGGATCCGGAGTCAGGGAAGGGAAGCGGGCGCCCCGCGGCCGCCCCCCTTCGAATTGCGCAACGGCGCGCGCGGAAGAGAAATCTGGCGGAGAAAGGCAAAGCAGGCGGACCGTCTGTGGCGACGAACGTGCCACGTCGTGCTCTGCCATGCTACGCTTTGATCTTGAACGCCATGGTATGCAATGTTATGTTCGGGGCCGCTGTGCGATGCCATGCTTTGCGCTGCGTAATGCAATTCTGCACTGCGCCACGCCACGCCATGCTGTGACATACTACGCTTTGCGGTGCTCTTCAACGCCCTGCCACGCCGTGCTCTACAATGCATCGCGTACCCTTTCGAAATCATTGCCCTGCTCGACATCCAACTGTGCGAGTAGAGAGGGGATCTACGCCATGGTAAGGGATGGGAAGGAGGGGTAGGCTGTCATATATGAAGCGAACGCCGGGGGGCGGACGATTCAGAAAACAGTTTCCGGCGGCTGAATTCTATTAGTCCGCCCCACTCAATCATTTTGGGGGGTCCGGGGGGGGGGAGCGTTTTTTGTAATCGCTTCCTCGCATTACTTGCCACGTCGAGTTCCCCAAACGTTGACATTGGCTCAGTATGTTCCGAAGAAGCAGGGATGCAGGGGCTTAGTGGGCCCTGGAAACGACAGGGCCGTCTTTTTACCGGTTCCGTTTTGTTTTTTTTTTCGCCGGTTCCGACGCCGTTTTTTTACCGGTTCCGTCGCCGTTTGTTGACTGGTTCCGGCTCCGGCTCCAATCCTGGAGCCGTTTTTGTTGCCGTTTCCGGTCGCCGTTTTTGCCGTTTCCATTTTCAACGGACGTTTTTGTGGAAACGGTGAAAAAACGGCCCTGCCGCTTCCGGGGCGCACAAAACCCTACACCACCTGGTGCGGCATCGCGATACCGCCTCCGATGTCATCCAGGAACCGGGCCCTCGCCCCACACCGCTGGCTGCATGTTTGGTCCAGACGGCCACGACTGCACGGGTTCCCCCGGGGCCGTAGGCGACCCGGGGAGGAGGAGGAGGATGAGGAGGAGGAGGAGGAGGAGGAGGAGGAGGAGGAGGAAGGAGGAGGAGACGGAGGAGGAGGAGGTGGAGGGGAAAGGGGAGGAGGATGTGGAGGGGAAGGGGGAGGAGGAGGAGAAGGAGGAGGCGGAGGAGGAGGAAGAAGAGAGAGGGAGAAACGGGAGGAACAGGAGGAACAGAAGGCGGCGGAGGGGGAAGCGGAGGCGGAACAGGAGGAGGAGGAGGAGGAGGAGGAGGAGGAGGAGGAGGAGGAGGAGGAGGAGGAGGAGGAGTTGGAGGAAAAAGAAAAGAAAAAGGACGAGGAGGAGGAGGAGGAGGAGGAGAACGAGGAGGCGGCGGAGGAGGAGGAGGAGGAAGAGGAGGAGAGGGAGGAGGAGAGAGATGAGGATAAGGAGGAGGAGGAGGTGGGGGAGGAGGCGGAGGAAGAGGAGGAGGAGGAAGTGGAGGAGAGGGAGGAGGAGGCGGAGCAGGAGGAGGAGGAAGAGGAGGAGGCGGAGGAGGAGGCGGAGGAGGAGCACGCGAAGGAGGAGGGGTCGCCTTAGCCCTTCGGAAAAAAAACCCTCCAGCCACGACCCCTGATGATGATGATGATGATGATGATGATGATGGGGATGAGGATGATGACTGTGATGATGATTATGATGATGGTGATGCTGGTGATGATGATGCTGCTGATGATGATGTGAGCGTTTTTGCTGCTAGGGCGACTCAAGCCCTGCGGCGTGCAAAATAGGCCTGGGTGACTTTGCTACCTCTGCTGTAGCCTCGGATGCTGAGCGCGTTGGGCCTGAATGCCGTTCGAATCCTTGTTCCATTGCCTGCTCTCGCGGTGGGAATAGAAACAATAGGGCTCAAACCACCGTCCTACCCCAACCAACCTCCATCGATGGGACAAAAGTCTGCGTAGTCATGGCAATAATCTGCATTCAATGCCTTGAGCTTCTGGACCAGGTGGGAGTCACCCAGCCGCCAAGTTAGGTGCAACTCGAGGCCCGTCGCGCCGGACCATCGCATGTTGAGACGGCGCAGTACGCGAGGCAGGACTGAAAGTTGCCACTGCCAGAAGAACGGAACTACGATATAGATCGCGTCCTTCAGCTTGTTAGGAGGAGCCTTGATTGCGGGATGTTGCGCCTGTGCGACGGCTTGCAAGCTGAGAAAGCTGGCGCCTGATGCCTTCAGGCGGCCAACGAGCCGCGAAACGTGTTGCTGAGCGAGGGAGGGGGAAGTGCACAATCGGAAAAACGTCCTCGCCATGGTTACTGGCCACGCTCTGTGCACGGAAGGGGCGCGGAGACTGTCCTCGCCAAGGGGGTCCATTGACTAGTCGTCTTCTCGTGCATCCTGTAGCTGACTTTGCACGTCTCGGGTCTCAAATCAGCGTCCTCCCAAGGTGACGACTCTCTGCTCAGCGTCGCAAAAAACAGGTCTGGATTGTTGTTGCGGCCGCCCAGGAAAGCGATGATGCCGTCTTTGAACCTGAAGTACGCCACTCGACCTACTGACTGTACGAACGATCGGTTTGAGAGAAGATTCTTCTCGGCTAGGAAATAGTAAGCTGCATCTGAGACCTCACCACCTCAAATCATGTCCATCACGCTACCGCTCACGACCTGCCATATTGTGTTGAAGCCCAGGACCTCCACGAACTGGTTCTCCAGGATAAACGTCAACGCAGCAACGTGCATCGGTTTTGGTGCCCCAGGAAAAACCTCGAACTTCGATCAATCAGCATCTCGTGAGACCCACTCATATAATATTCGTTATGTCTATCTTCACGATGGACACGTGTGGTGTGAACGACTTACGCCGCAAGGCTCGCAGAAACTGTGACGAATCCTTCACGAGATGAGGCATGCGGACAAGATGCTGGCGTAGAAGGTGGCTCACGTACCGCCATGGCTGGAACAAACGGGCCCCGCGGCCGCATGCAGTGAAAAAGCCGTATCGTACAATTCCCTGGGGGCGCATGGGTCTTGGCTGCTGCAGTGACCCTGAAACAGATGGCGCAATCGCACGAAGAACTACCAACCAGAGCTTTCAATTGGTCGTTGTCCATGTCGTCTCTTCCTATACTACAAAATGTGCTTGCACGTCTCTAAATACTCGCTGCAAGCGCCACGTGCGTGCACGTCGAAGCGCGGGGCGTCGAGCTCGCGGTGCCACACAGGTTTCCGAAGACAGGACAAAACAGCAATGTGCAGCCTCAGCTGGTGACAAGTTGCAAAGCCACTGCCCTTGCCTGTGCGAAGAACACCCCGAGCGCCATGGCGTAGAAACCGAAAGGCCGACGTAAGGACCGCGGGGAATGCTGGAGACGAGCCATGACGAATCCGTGCTTTCACGCACGCATCCCATACAGAACTCACCAAACCCTCCATGTAGGAAGCGTACGGCTGAGGGGCTTCACCAGGAAAAAGGGGCGGGCGATAGCAGGTCTTTCAGCCAGGAAACACCACTCTCGAGGCCCATTACCAGAAAAATGTTGCCGCCAAGCGATGTTGTTTGGCAGGCTCCCAAAGCTCAAACTTATTTGAAATAGCGATGCCTTGCGGAAAAAAAAAACGTGCTTACGATAGGACCGAAGTAAATACTCCACTTCCCAATCCAGTTTGCCCGGCTGCGGCGCAGCAGTGGTCGCCTTCATCGAACCGTACAAGTGGACCCCAGGATGACCCCATTCGCACGTCAACAGGTTGCCCAACAATTTCACATATAGGCCCCGGCCGAACGATTGGAACTCAGCGATGACTGCCTGGCGGCGGCAACAATTCGGAGGGCATGAAGATGTGAACGGACGATCCCAATGACGACGGGATCGCGTATGCCCTTCCTTGATGCGTTGCAGCCTCAACAATTTCCGCGCTGCCCACGGACCCTGGGTTTGGGTTTAGGTTTCGGCTTGGGCTTCGGGGCTGGACCGCCCTGTTTACCCTTGCCTTTTCGAAGTTGTGTTGCCCTTTCGGTGCCCCTGCTCCCTTTCGTTTGCCCTTGCCTTTTGTCGGACGCCTTGCTCTTGCCACTCGCCTTGCGCGTGCTGGTCGCTTTGCGCTTGCCTGCCCCCCCCGCTGCCCGCGGGGGGCAAGCCGTTTTTTTTTGTTGGAAGCGAAGTCGGCACTTCCTCCGAAGATGAATCGCCAAAGGCTGCTGTGTTGTACCATGATGAAGGCGCCGACGATGGAATATCCGAGGGGATCGTGGACCGAGATTTTCTCGCAGCATGGATCCGCGAGCCGATTACCAGATTCAGAAGCTCTGCGGGGGGCTTGCTGGATACCTCGTCTGCGATGTGGTTGCGCGTGGCCTCCTCCTGCCACTGCTGGTCGATAGTTTCTGTCTGCGTGCGAGCCGCCGCCTGGTCCAATCTTCCTGCAGATGACGACCAATCGCGGCTGCAACACGGTGGAATGATCGAAAGAGAGAGCATTGTCGTCACCGAGACCCAAAAACTGAAAGGGGTAGGCTCTGGTCGACTCGACCGCGAGACGTTGCGTCACAAAGTGGCCCTTCGAACACTTCGTCTTCAACTCCTGGCGCTGCTCAGTTAGAATATTTAGATCAAGGCGGTTTTGCGCTGCAAAGTACTCGGGGTACAGCTTCCTTTTGACATCTCGGATGAACAGATTTGCTATGCCGATTGTCACTGATTCGTCCATGCCCATGTGTTGTCTAGGTGCGGGGTCTCGTACGAAACAGAGAACGGCCTGACGCCAGAAGGAAAAT